TGCGGACCTACGAATAAAGAGAAAAGGCTAATTCTGATCCTTTGTCTGCTCTCCCAGCTGCTCCTTCCTGCCGGCGAGACGCAAGTCACCGAGAGCAGCCGAGACTGGGGCCGTCACGCCCAGAACACAAGAAACACGGTCCATTGGAGACTCACCACCACCCACCCATCCACCCGTGTCTCCCTTACAAAGTCTCGCACAGTCATCAGGTCTCTTCCAGAGGCCGGCCACACACACGCGCACGCTTACTCTCTGGACTCCAGTCAACGCCCTGAAGCAGCAACAGATGCCTCCCCGCCTGGCCCACGATGACAATACAACTGAGGAGGCTTTGTTTGTCACAGCGTAGGGCAAAGACAGGGGGGAGGGGGCAGAGGGAGAGAGAGAAATGTTAAGACATTGATAAATGTTGTGATGAACTTTGCGAGGCTGTTTTTGAGCATTACATTGCCTTTCTGAGGGCCTCTTGACTCGATCTGTCCAAACACATTGAATTGATGAAGGGCTGCCTTTGTCTCCATTAGCTGCCTCACTCATTTAACTCTCTCAGGTTACAGAGCGACACGGACACCAATGAACGCCACACTTCCTTCTCAATTGACAGACTGACACCACAGAGAAAAGCATTCGATCACCAGTCATTCTGTATAGCAACAGGTCATAGGAGAATCCTCTTGCCCATTTCCCCAATAGGCTGCCTGCTAACTCTCTCTCCCTCTCTGCCCCCTACCCCCCCCACTACCCCTCACTGTAGGGTCAGGCCTGTTATGTTATAAACAATATGTTGCATTTATACAGCACTCTTTGACGTAGTGTAATATCATCGAACAGTTTACAGAGATGGTGCCAAACAATGAGCCAGGAGTCTTCCCACTTGGCCCCTGTTAACGCTGCAAGCTAAAACCCCAACAGGTAGGATGGTCCTAGCTGGATAAGCAGCAGTGCTTTCAATGGCAAACTATGTGGTTTTAGCTGATTGGGCTCCAGCAGATCCCACCATTGCACGCTCTGGGGTGACCAAGGCTTGGCTTTGTCAGCGATGACCATCAAGGATTCAAAGGGGAAGGATTGACCAATTGTCACACCAATAATGGCCAAAGGTCCCATCCAACCTAGGAGTACAAGAGGATGAATCCTTGCATTTGGTACCGTCTGTGATGTCAAGAACATCTCAAACACATCACAAAAGTTTTTGCAGGTGACACTAATGTGCATACAACGTGCAATGAAGTGAGTGACCAATTGTATCTCAAGGATTGTTTGGAGGTCTTTTGATGAAAGGTTATCGACCTGAAACGTTAGCTCACTTTCTTCTCTCCATAGATGCTGCCTGATTTGCTGAGTATTCCCAGCGACTTCTCTGTTTATCTGGAGGATTGTTGTCCAGGACCCTGAGAGAGAGAGAGAGAGACTCTCTTTTCTTTTCCCATAGGTTTTTTTTAAACAGGCAAAGACGGGACCTAACAGTTTAATGTTCCATAAAGGGAAACAAATAACAGTTGAGGGGAGTGAAGTAGGAAGACACCCAGATTGAATCTAAATTCAACTAAAAAATCTTGAAAAGAAAAGCTGACGTGAGCAGAGGAATGAAGGACTGTTTCACCCGTGTACAATTACAGCAGCCAGCTTATAGAGAAATATTAAACCAATACCTAGCTAGTTATTGGCAGCTGCCCCCAAACTGGGCTGTTTAATACAAATAGGGCCAGCTCCAGCCCAACCCCGGGATACAAGGACAATTCAGGGACACACTGCCTACCCAGCTTACCTGGTACACATTGCCAAGCCAGACACACAAGGTGTACAACCCTGAGTACACATAGCCGAAGCTGGTATGCACATCCAAATCCGGCACACACCAGCGAGACTTGGTATACACAGGCAACCCTGGCACACAAGGACAACCCCAGCACACACAGCCAGATCTGGCACACACAGCCAATACCAAAGTCTTTAAGTAATATCTCACATGTTAACTCCTATTGTTAAGAATTACATTTGGTATTTATTTGGATATTTGGTATAGCGCCTTATCAGGTCAGGAGGACATTTCAAAGCACTTGACAGGATTTAGTGTGAAGTGTAGTGACTGTGTATGTTGTGGGCCAAATGGCTTTGGGCACAACAATGTTGTAAGCGACCAATTTGATTTGGGGATTGTTGGCCAGGATACCGGGAGAGAGAAACCCCCTTCTCTTTTTGAATATCGTCATGGCATCTTTAAAGTCCACCTGAACAGGCAGACGGGAACTTGGTTTAACGTCTCATCCAAAGGATGTAACAATAATAAAAAATAAGTCATAATTATTCATCACATATGAAGAGCAAAGAAGCTCAGGAGGTTATGAAGCTTCACAAAGGATTTGGAAGCCAAACCTTGAAACAGCTTTCATTGACCAATTTGAGTTTTGCAACAGCATAGAATCACAGAGGTGACATCTCCTCCAATCCCAGCCATCTGCTCTCACACATATAGTCTTGCTTCAAAGACCAAATGTTCTCAACGCATTAGCCTTGAGTTAGGACATAGTATGTAAGAATTTACTGAACTTAATGAAAACCACTGAATTTGGAAGCTATTTCTTTTTAAGGAACTGCAGGATATTTGCTGACAAATGAAGCCTGAGTTTAAAAGATTTTCCAAATTTCTATACTTAAATCCTTTTATTTTAAGGATCTTAAAACCTGAGACTCTGAGGAATTACGGATCTCCTGTTCCTTCTTAAATATCACTCTGCTCCCAGCCTCAAGAGCCACGATTTGATACCTCACAGCTTTGGGTAAAACATGGCAAGGTTTCCAGCTCTGTAACTGACTGCGGGCCCATGTGTAAAGCTCCCTGACATTGAGCCCAGCTCAGCTCTCCACATAACCTGTACAATATAAAATTCTTTCCACAGCGTCCGTACCGCCATCCATCACAATCCCTGCCGCTGCCTATGCAACGTTCACTTCGGGGACAAGTTAACTCAGCTTTGTTCACTGTCTGGGGTTATAGTAACAACCAGTTACTCCAACCGTAAATCTACTGGTTCAACTTGCATTTGGAGTATTGTGTGCAAGTCCAGTCACCCCACTTTAGCGATGCTGTTAGGGCCATTAAGTGGGTTTGCAAAGGAGATTTACCAAGATAGTGGTCTGACCTAGGACACAAACTGGAGGAACTAGGTCTGTTTTCCCAGTAACACAGGTGGTGATGAAGACCTGATCGAGGTGACTGAATCAGCACAGACACAGGAAGCCAAATAGCTTCCATAGTTCTCCGAAATTGACTGTTTTTCTATCACATGTAATGGCTTAACGCAGCACAGCATTGTCTTATTGTCTGTGTCCTGACATGTTTAACACAGCGGGGCATGTTTAACACAGCGCAGCATGTAACACAGCTCAAGCATATAAAACACTGGTATGTATAACACAGTCTGGGTATGTATTAACTTCAATTCCACCTTCATAAAGTAAATGTGTAACTCACAGCAACTGTCAGGCCCCCAGACCTGAACGATCAGGCCCCCGGTCCCATCGCTGTTGTTACCAGAATTCAGGAAGTGTCCCTCCCCCCACCCACCCCACCCCAGCACAGCAATCAGGTGAGCTGATAGTACTAATGGCAGCTTTTGGGAAGTAGGGGTTAGCATACGAGTGGCGTTCCAGAGCAGGCAATACAATTGGTCTGAGAGACATCTCGGAGTATCCTCTATTTGGAAATTACCCCCACTCCCCCCAGGCCTGGCTTGTCTCCGTGTAGCAAATGAAAATGACCACATTCCCCACCCCACGAGGGTAGCAGTTTCTACCATGCTCAACATTGGTCAATATCCTATATGAACAGTATCTAGCCAGTCTTAGCCATTATAAAGGCTCTCCTTCCCCTCCATGTTCAGGCTCTTTTCCACAACAGAAAGGCTCTCGCTGAAGCCACCAGTAACCTTTGTCGCTCGGCTCGGGGAAACCGGCCTCGAAGTGACTAGGTCCGTCTCTGAGCGGCGGGTCTCGCCAGCAATACTTACAGCAAAAAATACATTGTTACATTAAATTAATCGTACACATTCGTGGCTTAAATAGGATACACAATGGATAAATGTATAAGATTCTCTTCTCTCTAACCCCATTAACATGTTAACATGTGTAACTGTTTTTACCCTCTTGTCGGTTCCGAAACGATCGTTTTATATTTCTAACAAGTTGAGGGGTCGGCTCCTGTTAGGGCCCCTTTATATTGGGTTCGCTCTTACCGTCCCCTCCCTCCCCTCTCTGCCCCAACTGTTTTCTCCCCCCCCCAAACACATACACACACACACATGTACACACACAAGCACTGAGACACATTAAACATCACAAATGTTAAGTGCCTGACACATTGTCAAGGCTACAGCTGCTGGGACCTTAGTTCCCTCCCTCTCTCTCTCGCCTTCTCCCTCCGTCTCTCTCTCTCTCCCTCCCTCCTTTTCTCCCAGGGAAACCGAACCACACAAACTTCCGAAGCTCCAGAATGCCCTGGAAGACGCTGCCTTCGAGACAGTGCAAAATAAACTTTTCTTTAAGAAAAAAAAATGGTGAATTTCTAGATTGAACACAAAAAGATTTTCTGTCTATATACCGTGTGTATATAGATATATATTATGTATATATAATCCAAAAAATCTCTCTAGAATTTGGAGACGAGGGGAAAAATATACAAAATAAACATACACTGAGGAACGGGAAGACCAAGGCAGGTGAGCATGAGTTAGCGGATTGCTCAACTTGTGTCTGTTGCACACAGGTCCACACATAAGTGCACACACACACACTCACCCACACCTGGTTGGCTGCACACGGCAATACACATCCAGTTGCCGGTGAGCGCACACCCAGATAAACTCACACACACAACCAAGTACATGTGAGCGTGCATACATGTGGTATTTGCACACACACACACTGACACAGACAGAGAGAGACGCACACACACGCACGCTAACATGCACAATGCGGCCAGAAATAACCGGAGTCCTACAGAAACCATGGTTTGATGTGTTGTCAGTGATTTAGCGACAATCAAAAAAACACACACACACACAGAGGCAGCGCAGGGGAATGGGGTGGGGGGGGAACTGTGGCACTTGAGTGACAGTAAGGATACCCCCAAAACATTTCTCAGCATGCTGGGATTGATCCCTCTCCTCCTTCAATTCATTCCCCTCTTTCTCCCTTTCATTCCTTTTTTCTCAAACTGCCACCTTCATACAAATGTTTGTCCTCTCCTGTTTCTCCTGTCTCTCTTGTTCTTTCGCTCTCTCATCCCTCTCGTATCTCTCTCTCTCTCTCTCTCCAGCCGGTCGGTGTCTCAGGCGGTCAGTTTCTGGATGGTCTTGTTGTAGTACTGCATGATGGTTGGGGTCAGAGGGTTCCAGCCGTTGGCGTGCAGCTCAATGACCTCAAGGAGGAGGGAGCGGCTGAGTGGGGACTCCGAGGGGCCCAGCATCTTGTCCCTCGCGGCAGCCAACAGCTCAGTCATCATCTCTGGCAGCTGCTCCTCCAGCAGCTTCCCCGTGCTCTGCAGCTAGAACAGGCAGCACAACGGCAATCACTACAATGGTTCCACAGCCCAGTTACTCCAACAAGGCGCTGGTCCAGTATTACCACGAAATCTTTAATGCCCACCTGAACAGTCACAGATAGACCTTGGTTTAGTGTCTTGTCTGATTCACCGCTCCTTCACTAATGCAACTCCTCCCCATCAGCGGACAACAACAATTCAGGGTAGAGTCTCAAAGTATGGCACTTGCCAGGATGTATGGGTCTTCCAGGAATATGCTGGAGTATGTCGTGGTGCAGCTTGATGGGGTCCCCCCCACTTTGCCCATGCTGAGCTTAACCTCTGGAAATTCTTCCCTTGATCTCTCAGTCTCCCCACCCCCAACTCTGTCTTGAGGTTCTACCTATATAAATGTTAATTATTGTGGAGTCCTGTAGATCAGTGGTTAGAAGACTCGCCTTGTAAGCGAGACACCTGGGTTCAATTCCAGGCAGAGGGCGAAACCTTGGGCAAGTTTCCTTACTCCAGACACCTAATAATAATCCCCCCCAAAACAAAACAATGATAAATTGGTCACTTCAATCCACGACTGTTTGTGGGACACTGCTGTGCGCAATTGGCTGCCGCGTTTCGCCCACAAATATACAGTCAATTCACTTTACAGCATATTCTGTGAAGCGCTTTGAGACGTCGAGAAGACGTGAAAAGCGCTATATCAAATGCAAGAATTATTATTATTATTATTGTCAGGGAAATGTAGAGGTACAAACCTACCTCCATTGAGCAGCAAAGAACAGAGTCTTCCTTCACGTCCTGTGACTGCAGCAGCTGAGGGAGAGCAAGACAGAGGGAAGAACCATTCAACATAGCGCTCAGTTTGCTCCCCTGCTTTCACAAGGTTAGTGTTCAGACTCACTGAGGCACTGGGATACAGGGCATTAGTTCAGGGTGTGTCAAGGAATCACAGAGTAAAATCTACAGCTGGAATGTTACCAGGAAAGGCGGCAGAGAGGAGGACGTTGGGACTCTTTTAAGAATCTGTATCTCAGTACAAGTAGATGTGACCCATATAGGTCCCTCTCAGGAAGTAGGAGTAATAGGATAAGACGGCAGAGGTGAGGCAAGGGAGCAAGCGAGAGGACCCTGGTTCGATTTCTTGGCAGTGTGAAACATTAGGCAAGTTTCCTTACTCCACACACCTTTGTTTACCTAGCAGTAAGTAAGAATCATCGGTCGATTAGCGGATCAGTTTCCAGGGGTAATAATCCCTCCAAAAAATAATAATAATAATAATTTGGTTACTCAATCCATGGCTGTTTGACATAATGACATGATAAGATGTCATATCAAATGCAAGGATTTTGGTTGTTGTTATTAATAACATAGCGGGGAGACAGGTTTGTCCCATGTCTCATCGGGCTGATATATGTGAGAGAGAGAGTGAAGGGTATGTACCTCCCGCAGGCAGGTGTAGATGGGACAGACTAGGACACGGAAGGGCTCGCCTGCGTTGCTCCTCATGATCCCGAAGACCTCACAGAGGAAGGTGATGAACCCGAGCCAACGTTCCACATCAGTCTGCTGCAGCTTCTCACGCATTGTGAAATCTTTCTAAACCGAGAGAGAGAGAGAGGCACACGTAGAGAGAACTGAGTGAGGTGGAAGAGGGTGAGATTTCTCTTAAGGAATTTGGTGAGAGTGGGAATTCTTGAGCAACAGAGAACTAGATAGCAAAAGAGCGAGCATTGTTTCTTGAGCAAGAGAGAAGTTTTCAAGCAAAACAGGTAATCACACCAAATCGTCAGTTAGTCACAGGCCAGGTATAAGATCAGCTAATTAATCACTCACTCAATTAATTAATTAATTGTTGACCAGTTGAAACTGGTTGTGTCAGAGGCCTACATAAAGGGGAGAATCGTGAGAGCCCACCATAGTACCATAGGTATATATTTGATATAGTACATAAGTTTGAACATGTGCAACTGCCAGGAAGGTGAACTAGATAGACCTTGTTTTTTTTGTCTATTTCTTAAATTCTTATGAGTAGTAGAGTGAGAGAGAAAGGGGGGGTCGCACATGTAGAGAGTGTGGCAATGAGAGAGAGATATAGAGAGACAATTGGCTGCTGTGTTTTACAGAGTATAGTCCACTCACTATACAGTACATTTTGTAAAGTGCTTTGAGATGTCTTGAAGATGTGATAAGGTGCTACATCAAATGCAAGGATTATTATTATTATAGACAGAGAGAGAGGCATATGTAGAGAGTGGCACAGAGAGAGACAACCACACAGAGGGTTTTTCTCACTTTATAACACAATCAGATGGAAATAAAAATAGAACTTCATTACATCAAAATACCTCAAAGCACACTTCACAATTAATTGCTGTAAACTCCCTTCTCTGTTTTAATAGTGCCACCAACATCCACCTAAACAGGCAGGCGGGAGCTCAGTTAACTGACTCATTCAACCAATTACCTCACTCCCATGAAAGGTCGACACCTTCAACAAGAAGTGCTTCCTCACACGCTACTGGAGTGTCAGCCTGGACCATGTGATCTCAAATTTCATATGTTGGGAACCCACAACTTTCTGACTCAGGGCAGAGAATCAGAGCTCCTCAACCTCCCTAGTTTCTCTCAAATTCACCAAACCTTGGCGCTGCTTCAATTCTTAGCAATCCTTCCTCCCTATCATTCGGTCTCGATGACCAAGACTGCTTTTTTTTGTTTTACCTCCGTCACATTGCCCTCCTCCATCCCCATCTCTTACTAAATGCAACTGAAACCCTTAATCACACCCTCCTTGCCTCCCTCCTGGACTTTAATAGATAATGTGAATTTATTTCATTGAGCTACAGCAGGAAAGGTCAGGCCTGTGGAGAGCATGGGGGGAGGGCTTACCTGTAGGATGTTGAGCAGTAAGCTGCGGAACTTGGTCCCCTCCACCATGAAGAGAGACATCTTGTCACAGAGCTTGGCTGCTGTAGAAGCGAAGCTCCTGTCCGTCACGGCTTTGTGGTAGATGGTCTGGACGATCTCGCTCAGCATCCCCTCGGAGTTGGTGGAGTTCTGTGCTTCCTCCATGAAAGTGGTCAGATTGGAGTCCACATCCCGGCTGTTGTTCCTCATGCTGTTGAGGATCTCGATTAGTTTGTCCATTTTGGTTTTCTGAGGGTTTGGGGTGTCGAAGGAGACTTCATCCTGCGGCATCCAAGAAAAGGCGCTTACATACCATTTCCCCAACTGAGGTGTCAGTCGGTAGCACTCTGGCCTCCCAGGCAGAAGATTGTGGGTTCAAATCAGGAATCTGAACTCACAAGGCTGGGCTGACACTTCAATGCAGTGCTGGAGGGGAGCTTTGCATTTTTAGGTGCAAGTGGTTAGAGCACTCGCATCGCAAGCGAGAGACCTGGATTCAATTTCCGCAGGGAGAAATGTTGGCCAAGTTTCCTTACTCCACACACCTCTGTTTCACCTAGCAGTAAGTACGAACCAGGGTATTAATCAATTAGCGGATCAATTTTCTAGGGATAATTCCTTCAAAATGAATAAACAAAAATAATTGTATGATCACTCAATCCACGACCGTTTGAGGGACACAGCTGTGAGCAATTCGCTGCCGCGTTTTGCCAACAAAATATACAGTCAATTCACTTTACAGCATATTCTGTGAAGCACTTTGAGACGTATCGAAGACGTGATAAGGTGCTAAATGAAATGCAAGGATTATTATTATGATAAGACGTTAAACCGAGGTCCTGTCTGCCTGTCCTGCCTGCCATTTGTCTGACTGACAAACGGAGCTCAGTTTAACAATTTCTGCAAAGAACAATATTCCAACACTCCAGTGTTTTCTCCCCCCGGTACTGCACTGGAATGTCAACCTAATCTATGAGCGGGAAAAGGGGAGCAAGTGGGCAGGGGCTTGAACTGACAATCTTCTCACCAAAAGTCCTGTAGCTCAGTGGTTAGAGCACTCGCTTTGCAAGCGAGAGACCTGAGTTCAATTCCAGGCAGAGGGCGAAACCTTGGGCAAGTTTCCTTACTCCACACAGAGCCTAATAATAATCCCTTCAAAACAAAACAATAATAATTGGTCATTTTCAATCTACGGCTGTTTGTGGGACATTGCTGTATGCAATTGGCTGCCGCGTTCGCCCACAAATATACAGTCAATTCACTTTACAGTGTGTTCTGTGAAGCGCTTTGGGACATCCTCCCGACGTGAAAAGCGCTATATCAAATGCAAGGATTATTATTATTATAAGAGGTGAAAGCATAATGGCTCAGGAAAGGGAGTCTGTGGAAAGAATTAAAACTTATATGCAGTAAGTATCACACTCTGGAATAACCACCATGTCACAGACACAGTGAAGGAAACAGAGGGGTGGGGGGAAGAGAACGGTCATAGAGAGAGTCGCCGATTGGGGGGGAGAAGTACAGTCGGCACCATGGTGAGACACAAGAAAGAGAGTTACAGAGAGAGAGACAAAGACAGAGAAAGAAGGAAGAAAAACAGAGAATGACAAAGCGATTGATAAATTTGTATCTTATCATCTCTGTCCTCCACCTAAATTTTTCCTTTGTCTTTCTTTCCCCGCCCCCTTCTCTGCTTGTCTTTATAATCTGCTCCCTTCCAACATCTCCCAGTTCCGTCGAAAGGTCACTGACCTGAAATGTTAAGTTATTTTCCTCTCTCCATAGATGCTGCCTGACCTGCCTCGTGTTCCTAGCAACTTCTGTCTTTATTCGTGGTAAATTAAGTCCTTGTTAGTTCTGCACATTGTATTTCATGTGATAATCTGCTATCTATTTCTATGTCTACAATGGGCCAAACCCAACCAGTATGAACATTGGCCTCTGTACTGTACTTCAAAATCCTCACATTCGAGTTCAAATCCATTCACTCCCTGGCACCTCCCTACCTCTCCGACCTCCTCACTCCCAATCCAACACCTGGCGCCTCTCCTCGACTGGCACCGGCCTCCTGCTCGTCTCTCGCACCCTCCGCCCCACTATCGAAGGTTGTGCTTTCAGCCACTACACCCCGAAACTCTGGAACAATCTCCCTCAATCCCTCCGCCTTGCCCCCTCTCTCCCCTCTTTCAAATCCCACCTGAAAACCTTCCTCTTCGACCATGCTTACGACCACCTCCCCACCCCGGCTCAGAGTCAGGCTCCGCCACTGTTAAGCACTCTGAGACGCTGTCCTGCATGGAGGGCGCTATACAGGGGCAACTTGTTGTTGTTGTACCTTCTCCTTGAGCCTCCTCTTCAGTCTATCTTTGGAAGACTCCAACAGACTAACTTTCGGCCTGTCCGCGTGCTGGTCAGAGACGCTCTCCTCTGATTTGATGTCAGAGTTCTGGGAGGCCGGAGTGGGACTGCCAGGGGTCTCGGTGGGTTTCTGGGGGTCCCCTGCAGTCTGCCCTAGACTGTGCCAGCTCTCCTCGCCTGGGACGTCTTTACTGTCTTTGACGTTGCGGCTGGAGTCCTTGTCGTTGGCAGGATGCCTCTGGCTGTGTTGCCATCGGCGTTGCTGACTGTAGCCATGGTTGGGTGGACCCTGCTTGCCTGAGGGGTGTGAGGCGGGTGGTTGGTGCTGTCTGTGCTCCCGGCTCTGCTTGGGGTAGTTCGGCTGGTGCTCTGTCTGCTGTTGTTGTTGTTGCTGTTGTAGGGCTTTGTTTCCACCTTGATTTCTTTGCTGTCTCCTGTCAATCAGAATAAGCTCTTGTTACATAGACACACACCATCCAGCACAGAGGGAGGCCACTCCACTCATCTCGTCTGTGCCAGGATTCATCTGCTTAACAACAGGTTTGCTCCATGTGGAGTCCTGTAGCTCAGTGGTTAGAGCACTCGCTTTGCAAGTGAGAGACCTGAGTTCAATTCCAGGCAGAGGGCGAAACCTTGGGCAAGTTTCCTTACTCCACACACCTAATAATAATCCCTCCAAAACCAAAAACAATAATAAAAATTGGTCATTTTTAATCTACGACTGTTTGTGGGACATTGCTGTGCGCAATTGGCTGCCACATTCGCCCACAAATATACAGTCAATTCACTTTAGTGTGCTCTGTGAAGCACTTTGGGACGTCCTCCCGACGTGAAAAGCGCTATATCAAATGCAAGGATTATTGTTATTATTATGTGTAAACCAGGTGTATTAGATGCCATGTGTAAACCATGTGCAAATGCTCAAACCGCTGTAACCTGACTTCAAGTTCCGCCTCAAAACATACCTCTTTGAGTGCCCCTATGGTCACCTTCCCCCTTTCCTTGCTCAGTGTCCGGTCCCATCACTGTGAGGCGCTTTGAGATGTTATACTATGTGAAGGGCGTTTCAAATGCCTTCCTACCTCCCTACCTCTCCGACCTGCTTACTCCCCAATCCACAATCCGTTGCCTCCGCTCGACTGGCACCAATAACTCCAGCTACTATCCACCAAACTCTGGAACACCCTCCTTCTATCCCTCTGCCTTGCCCCCTCCTTCTCCATCTTCAGGTAGCACCTGAAGACCTTCCTCTTCGACTGTGCTTAAGATCACCTCCTCCTGGTCTCGTGCTCTGCCACTGTCAAGCGCTCTCTTGGTGCTTTTAGATGGTTAATCCTCTACGATTCTCTCTGTACACAAGGTTTATACATAGACATATTTTCTCCCCTCCACTGCAGTGTGTAAACATATTGCCACTCCTACCCTCAGGACATCAGCCAAATTACCTCTTTCACATGTCCTGTTTATTCAGATGTTAAGAGCTGAAATTAGGCAAAAGTGCTCGTTAATCAGTTGGTAAATTGAAATCTTTAGGAGCAGGAGTTGGCCCATCAATCCAATCTTTGTGGGAGTCTTGATCATTCTAATCCCATTTCTATGCCTTTTCTCCAAATCCCTCAAGATCTATAAATTATAACAAAAATAGCCCATTTAGCCCAACTAGTTTATGCCAGTGTTTATACCCCATGTGAACCCCCATCTCGCCTATTCTGCTCACCCACAGTCCTCCATTCCCTACTCCCTCACGGTTGCATCAAGATTTTATTGATGCTTTTTGCTCTAACCAACACTTTTGGAAGTGAGTTTCACATTCTCATCACCCTCTGTGTGAAGAAGTAAATTGGTTGTCATATTTATACTCTAAATATAGGGTGAAAATATGGCTAGCTAATATTTATACCCTTAAGTTTTGGACCCACCAATGAACATAGCCTATCTACATCTATCTTATCAAATTCTTTCATAATCTTGAACACATCTATCAGATCCCCTCTCAATCATCTCACTTCCCAGCTAGCTATCAAAGATACATCTCCCTCTTGAACACCTCAATCTATGGTGTTCATTCGTCCAACCCGTTTGATGATGAACTCTTTTCTGGATTTGCTTTTGACTGGTACGTCTCTCAGTTTAAGATGACTCGCCCCTTGTTTTCCAAGTCTCGCCATGAAGTCTGTGGGGCGATGTGGAAAATCTGCTGCCATTCACTTGTGTGTGTTCCCTACAACCAAGGACGGCGACTTGGCCAAACTCTGAACGTCACGTTTCCTGTCTCTTTCTGTGAAGCTCGAAATGAACTCACCAACATTCCTCGAAGTCGAATGCGGAAAAAGGCAGAGATGATGTCAATGTAAGCAGATTGTTTAACTTAGTCCACAAGAGCAGAGCTCTAGGGTGTTCTGCAGGACTCTCATTAACAAGGCTCAAGAAGGACTAAAGAATGGAAGTGTTTAGTTGTGGACAATTGGAGCAAGTGGGCTGTAGTTTTTGCTAATGGACCCGGCCTCCACAAAAGCAGTGGAAGTGGGTCCATTAGCAAAGACTACAGTGCACAGTGTGTGTCAGGTAAGATAACGTCTCAAAACATTTTACAAAGTTCATGGGGTCACTGTTAGGCTGACAATCCAGAGCAGTGCTGGGGAGAGGGGGAGAAGAGCATTTAATTATTGGAGGCGCTATCCTTCAGATGAAACCGAGGTCCCGTCTGTGTCTATCCAGGTGGATGTTAAAGAATACATATAAATAAAAATGGCACTAATCGAAAGGAGACAGTGGTTTCTCTTGTAGAAAATAACCATGTGAGGTATCAAGCACTCAAGACTCGGAAACGTAGACATTATTAACACAAGGCCATTCAGCCCTTTGTGCCAGGCTCCCACCGTTTTGTGGCCAAAACATACCTCAGCTATATAAAGTGCTTTGAAATGTCCTCACAATGTTGAAAGGAACATCTAAATAGTATGTTCAGTGGATGGCAATTATTAGCTGGAGGACATTAATTTTCAATGCCCAAAACTAGAGTTCACTTGATGTACACATGAGGGAGAAGAGAATGGAGTATAGGTGAGGTGAATAGGAGGAGTGGGGGTTCATGTGGGGTATAAACACTGGCATAGACTAGGATAGTGATGGGTTTCTGCATGTAAAATATCCGGCTGCTCAAAAAAACATTCACCCAACAAAAACTAATAAAGAAGTTATGAGATTTGTTTTCACACACACATTGGGTTATTAAATACAGAATATCTCTGGATGACCAAAAATCACTTCAAAAAGGGAACTAAAATATTTAAAAAGGAAGAATATAAAAGAGTAGGAGGAAAAGAACCAGGAAGTGGAAATAACAAATCGATCTTACACACTTCATCTTAATGGTTCTTAATGGTGATGTCAACCTGGCTCAGCTGGTAGTATCTTGCCTCTCAGTCGGAGGGCTATGTGTTCAAGCCAACGACTTTGAACTCTCAGTCTACGCAACTGCACATAAAAATTAAAATAAGGAATAGAGGAGCATAGCATTGTTTGTGACAAAATAGCGTCACATCACTTTACACTAAATCGTGGAGTCCTGTAGCTCAGTGGTTAGAGCACTCGCTTTGCAAGTGAGAGACCTGAGTTCAATTCCAGGCAGGGCGAAACCTTGGGCAAGTTTCCTTACTCCACACGCCTAATAATAATCCCTCCAAAACTAAAAACAATAATTAAATTGGTCATTTTCAATCTATGACTGTTTGTGGGACATTGCTGTGCGCAATTGGCTGCCGCGTTCGCCCACAAATATACAGTCAATTCACTTTACAGTGTGTTCTGTGAAGCGCTTTGGGACGTCCTCCTGACGTGAAAAGCGCTATATCAAATGCAAGGATTATTATTATTATTATTATCCTGTGACGCGCTTTGTGATGTCCTCTCGATGTGAAAGGTACGGTATCAACAAATTACATTTGTAAAGCTCCTTTCAAGTTGGGAGGTCGTTCCAAGGCACAATCAATTGCAACGATTGTTAAAACAATGTTTTTAATGGTGCAGGCACGATGGGCTGAGTGGGCTTGTGGGTGTGAATGTTATCGTTGCTAAGCTAGTACGTGTTTGAGGCAGTTTATTGCTGTGGTTACCTAAACCCTATAGGAACTAGACTAAGAATTTAATGTTCACTGTGATTCACACTTCATCTTAATGGTTCTCAAAACACAAAACCTCATCCTCAAAATTAAATAATGTGGCTCCAAAATAGACCCAGAAGCACCACTGGGAGCTGGAAAACATTAATGCAAACCATCTCAGGTGGCGAGAGGCAGAATTAGCAACCGATTGGATTCAGCAATTATTGTTTCAGCATCGTATTTCACTAGCTTGTTCGTTTTGCTTTGTGTAAGGAGCAAGCCTTTTTATAAAAATGCTAACTTAAGAGGGTCATTGGAACATTTTATTGTGTTCTGACTGTCTGTGTGAAAAAATAATGTGTTTGTCGCCCTCCAAACAAAGATGGTTTGTTAACTCATCAATTCAGGTAATTGAAGGTATTTTGATCCCGTTTCACAAGCACCTAATTTCCATTGGCATTGCTTCTCCCCCCATCAGCTCAGATGTCAAACTCCTGACAGGGAAATTGCAAGTGGGAGCTTTCCAGCAGAAAGGGAGAGGAGACAGGAGAGGGCTACCAGCAATCTTTACTCTATTGCTTCACCTGGGCCGACAATGTCCCTTTAATCCCAAGTAACCTACACCAAAGAGAAATACTGTCACCATCTCTCACCATTGCCCGATAGTTAGCGAGACCCAAATCAACAGCAACCTCAGGAAGGGATTTAACAAAATGGGGGTTGCAATGACCTTTAATCCCACGTGATTCGCAACTGGAATGAATATGATCATCACATCAGTGTGATACTGGCATCGTGGCTCCTAGCCTTGGCAGATACCCTTTCATCACAGCAACGGTCAATTGATTGATTGAATGATTTATTGATTAATTGCCACATTTTTGCTCTTATGCTTTGGAAACCCCAGTGTGGAGCGACTGTATTCGGCAGAGATTCTTTCCCTGGTTCTGTGGGAAACATTTGATAACTCAGAACAGAGTTACAACACCAAAAGATCAAACAACAACAAAATTACATTGGTATAGCGCCTTTCACGTCGGGAGGACGTCCCAGTGTCCCTGGTTGGGAAGTTTGAGCCTCATGTCCCAAGGCACTGTTTTTGTGTTACGAGGCTCTTTACTCACAAGATGTTAAGATCGATTGGAATAAAGGAGACTCTTCAGCCCATTTGATCTCATCCTTCCAGAGCACCTGCCCTACTTTCCCTCGATCACAGCATCAAGCTGCTTTTTAAATGAGTCTCACTGTCCTATCTTCAACAATCCTGGTAATTTGTTAATTACCCTCTGAGTAAAGAAAAACATCTTTGTGTTTAATCCTGAAATTGCCCT